GGATTCCCTCTCTCACTTGCGTGTAGCGGGAAACTTCCTGCATCACCCTTTCGAGTACGTTGAACAACGCTGGTCGCTTGAATAACGCTAATCGCATGCTCATCCTGCTTTCGTAGAGTCCAAGTCTCTGAGGCATAAGTCAAGGCAGGAAGGACCGCGGAATCGAAGAGGTGGGCACGGAGCTTGGTGTTCTTCGTCTTCTTCGCTACTCCCTCGATGTTCTTGAAGGCTCCCCAAGCCGCTCGCTTCCTCCTGGCTCTGGTGCTAAGTCGTTCATCACATCGATTTCGCTGTCCAGTCACACATAGCTAGAGCAGTCGAGAATGGTCGTTCCGAGCGTGAGTGGGCCTCAGAAGTCATTCCGTTTCTCATGAACGTCTTCCTCGTTAGATTCAGCTGTAGACCGATTTTCCACATGCGCAGTCGAAATCAGCCAGCATTCGTTCCGCTTGCTCGATAATTGCTGTTATCAGAACCATCCCAGGAGAGCGGAATGGTGTAGTTGTCTCTTTGTAGAGTGGTGAGATTCTGGTCGCAAAGTTGCTGTAGAGCTCACGAAGAATCCTGATGTACTGGGCAGGAATACCCTGGTTGCCCAGGGCTTCGATGACCGTTTCTCTCAACGGTGTCGAAGGCTTTCGATGAAAGTGGGACATAACATCTTGTACTCTCGCGATACTTCAGTGTGCTTCGTTATCGTGTGATGATCGATCGTGCTGCATCCTGTATGAAACCCTGCTTGCTCGCATAGCTATCCCCCGTCTAGTGTTCTGCCAATCTTAGGGATGGTTCATGTAAAGAGCAGGCAGATCGTACCGGTAGGATCGTTGATTGCCTGTCGTACAGGTCTCCTTTCTTGTACAGCAACACAGTCTTGCTGGTTTTCCACGAGGTGGGTACCTTGCATTCCGACAGGTAGCGCGTGAAGAGTCGAGCCAGAGTTTTGACAAGAACTGGCGGAAGATTCTTCAGATGTTCGGGTCTGATCCTGTCGGGACCAGGTGCCGTACGATTCTTCACCGACGAGATGGCGTGTCGGACTTCGGAAGGGAGAACTGCAGGAACGACGTATCCATCCTGCTCCAAGCTATATGGTGGCAAATAGACGTTGCTGTCAAAGAGATACTGTCCAACATGCTGTGAAACTACAAACTTCTCACGTTTTGCACATTTGCACAGATAATTCGCTGTTGTCTTGAGGAGAAATGGATGCGCATTCAAACGAACAAGTATTTCAGAAGGATAGGGTGCACGAAAAAAGCAGTGGTGTCGATCGTGAGGGTCAGACGAAATTTGTGGTTGAGGGATTCCTGCGCAGAAGGGCTGGTCGGGGTAGGAGGGACCACATAACAAGAGTTCCTATAGCTAGTAGATAGTCGTCTCAGCCGCCGTGTTTTATTTTCATATGTTAAGCTCATTTCTTTCAGAGTCTATTGCTCACTAGTGCATCAGTGGCATTGCTATAAGGGGGTAGGAGGAATTCAGGAGGAGCGTTCCTATCTCGATCGTATCCAGTCAACATCAGCGACTGGTTGTAAGGAAGCCTTCACCTTGGGAGACAATGTGAGGTTAGACAAGGAACTGGCAGCTTACGAAGATACTTCTTTCAGAGAAGCAGTGCTATATGCTAGTTCGTTCCGGAAAACATTTCTAAACCGATACACTTAGGCAGATGATCTGAGTTCTTTCAAAGGAGGTTGTCCAAGACATGAATCCTTTTTTTTAAGAACGGTCATTACATTATGCAGCGATAACTATAAGGAGAGGATGAAAAATGAAAGGAAATGAACTAGAAGTGAGGATAACTTCGCACTCATGAAATGTCAAAATGAAATGAACAATAGGCTGTTAGATCGGTGACGCAAAATATGCATTCATACAACTCTAATTTTTTTGTTTTTTCTGTAGTTCACTGGAAACACTGCTCATAAAATTATCATCCAGTTTTGAGCATGAGATCAGATAGTTGCTGAGATTGAGTCAACACGTACTGATCCTTTCTCTTTTTTCGTCACTGACCACCAAGGAATCCTTTTTCTATAAAGCAGAAACTTTGTGTGTCGGTTTGTCGGTATGTATGTATGTATGTCGGTTTGTATGTCTGTCCGTCCGCAAAGTGCTTCACAGGATTAAACAGGTTAGTGAAAGGAGAAAACGACCGCAAGACAAACCGGGATTCGATCGGTGCAGATGTATCAATCCAATGTTTTGATTGATAACAGCATATATAAGACAACCATTCGGTACGCTCCGAGCCATTGCACGAGCTGCTCGGGTGGCAGCTGGACGTGAGCTCGTGCGGGGGCAGGGTGGGGTGAAGCCGAGGGGGGGGGCACCGAGTGACCCCTCTGCTTCCTTCCCCTGCACGTGCTCAGCCGGACCTGAGCATGTGCAAGGGAAGGGGTCCGGTGAGGGGTGCGTAGCGCACGCTCGAGTGGAAGCACGCAGCAACAACAACAGATAAGAAAACAACCGCTAGAAAAATTGCAAATTGATCCATAATAAAAAGGCCATACGATGTTGTTTTGATTGTGGATACCCTCATAGCATATAAGACAGGCATTTAGTACACTCCGAGCCATTGCACAAGTTGCTCGCGTGCTAGCTGGACGTGAGCCGTGCGAGGGCCAGTGTGGGGAGAGCGGTACAGGGAGAGGGTGAGGGTAAGTGGGATGAGTGGGGGGGTGTACTATGAGGGAGCCTAGATTTTGCTGGATTAGAAGAACACCATAGCTAGCACCACTGGAAGCGATAAGACGATGAGTGGAGGGAACAACCGCTAGCAGGGCCGCGAATAAAATCCATGCTATAGTACCGCTTTGAGGGGCTGCTTTGGTCGTGATTACAATCTGCACTATAGAAACCCCGTAGTGCACGTAGAAGCTGGGCGTGAACATGTGCAGGAGCAAGTGTGGTGAGAAGTTGGGGCAAGTAGATATTGGGAAGGGGATTACTTGGGTGGGTGGGATTAGTGAAGGGGGGGGGGTATGATGGGGAGCTTGGAATGCATACGGATAGAATAACAGCTTAACTGAGGAAGCAAAAGCACTGTGAAAGCGATGAGATGATGAGTGAAGGGATCAACCGCTAGCACGATCGCGAATAAAATTCATGTTATGCTCTCACTTTGAGGCTATGTCTCGGTCGTGATTACATAATCCTTAAGAGAGCTATGTAGTGCACTCTAAGTCACTTCACGAGCACCTCGCATGGCAGCCAAACGCGCGTTCAAGAACCACCAGTCGGATAGCCCGGCTGACGCCGAGCTCTCCTCCTTCTCTTTAGCTCGGCTTCGCCGAGCTGGCCTGGCTTCGCCAGGCGCGCATAATTTGAACGCAACTTTTTCGACAGTGGGCTGCTCATATGGCGCTGTAGTGATAGAACCATTACAAATAGAGCAACGATCCTGCATTCCTAAGCATACGCTTACGTTGCCGTTGTTGTGCAGTGGAAGTGCTAGAGCCTCAAAACTACATGGGCGGGGTTTTTAGGTTGCCTGGAACAGGCAGCTCAGGGAAAAATCAAGATCGAAGAACCCTAATAATGAGACACACTTCGAAAGCATTTTTTCACTTCTAGCTTTTAATTACCGAAGGGAGCGCTTTATAAGGGAGTACAGAAAATGTACAACGTTGCCCAAATATTGCGCCTGCAATCGTTCATGGGACTTCATCGAGTGGATTGCATGCTAATGAAACGATGAGTATATGAGCGCTCACCGGTAGGCACTTCGATGCAGGTAATAGAAACAGAATTCGTTCATAGCGTTTCATATTGCGCTGTACTTTCTATCTATAGTTCTATGTATAGTGTGGGCGTTATGGCAGAACCACCTCCCTCCTCCGAATATGGACGTGATCAGTAGTGCCCAATCCGCTGGTTTACTCTATCTATTACGACTCGATCAGTACACAGCAACAAGAGCAGCTGAGTGAATGAACAAGAGCCCAGCGAAGCCGGGCTAAAGCGAAGCACGAGAGAGCGTTGGCCGGGCGATCCGACTGGTAACTAATCACCCACATTTTTAGGCAGCTTCGGAGTTTAGCTATCGGATCACTTTTAACACTATTACTGTTACCGGGAGGAGGAGCAAGAGCTTCCTGCCCTTTAACTATTGAGCTGCAGCGATTACATCTCTTTCACAAGCACTGTAAAGAAGCTAAGCAGAGAAAAACAAGCAGTGTAAAGAAGCTAAGCATAGAAAGAATCATCTGCTCTTTAAGGACACAACGTCGCTCATCATCCGTGTCCCCATCCCATCATTACTGCTGTGATGCGCGCTGAGAATTTTGCGGCGTTCCCTTTCTAACACCCCCTTATTAGCTCCAATACAGCCATGCTTATTCCAAATCACCCACCAATGATGTTCTTCTCCCATCTTCTACACAACATGCCAGTTTTAACTCTGTAACTACAACAAACGAAGTCATTTCTGAACACAAACACACACAGGCTCACACACACACCAGCAGTCGAACTCAGCGGATTATATAAAAAAAACAGGATACCTGTAAGTTGACATCATTACCAAACACCCATCACCAATCCCCCTATCAGTAACCAACTGATTTGGTAAGAGCTCTACCACTTCGAATAATACGATGACGGCAGCGCCTCCTATCACCTGCTCTCGTTTGTATTCCTGCTCCTGTCGTCCTCCACTGGTGATTTTTTTTAAATCCTTTGTTACACCTGCTGGAACAGAAATCCCTTCGTTGCTCTGAACTGCTCCGGGAATTCGGCTTCCCTCTTCTCTTGAGGTCTCCAGGCGAAACTTAGCAACTGTTATCACTTCCGTCCTTCACTGAATCATTTAATTCATCAGGATTTATGGCACATATCTGAGTTGTTTCAGTCTACCAGATGGGGTGCGTCGGAATGCCTTGAGCGCACTCGCAAGAAAGAATAATTTTCACCCGCTCGGTTGCGGCTAGCAGATAAATTAAAAATTGTAAATTGGTGAATATGCTGAAAACATCTAGGGATTGAATGAAGTGCCCATGCATGCCCATGCACTAGTAGTAGGGAGTCCGGCGTCAGGCTGTAGTCTGTTGTTCCAGGTGGAAGCAAAACAACTGCACCAGTCGGAAGTGGAGAAGCACAGGGAGAGGGAAAGACAAGCAGCAACAGTGGTAAGCTTACTCTGGTGGCCTACTAATTCCAGGAAGTCAGGATTTTGTTTAGTTCCATAAAAGGCCCGGATCTATTGAGTACTGATACCTGCGACTCCCGAGGAAACGGGGTGTGGGAGTATGTGACCGTACCCTTACTGTCTTTATTTGACCTCTGAAAGTTTTGTTGACCACGATGTCGGTTGTTAAAAACATGTGATCATCTCGCGCTCCATTCAGGCTCCTTTGGTGGGCTCATTATTTTAGCTTGTGAGATGAAACATATCATCTTCTTGCTTGTCGGTCGATCGAGTTCGTAGTGCGTTGCCTTACATTGCTGCACGCTTGTGCGCGCACTTAGCCATTGCTCATTCCAGACTCGAACAAAGTAAGGACGTGTGAGTCTTCGCCATGACCCGCGTCGGCGCCCTACCATTGCAGCAGCGCTGCCATGGTAAACACACGGATGCAGCCCTGACGGAATCCTTCGGAGCTAGCCGTGGCCATTTTGAGAGGGTGTGAGAAGTAGGAGGTATGCTTTGCCTAATCATGCGGCCTCGTTGGTTTGCGTTCACGTCTATAGCGTTTAGGCGCTCCTGCAGTGCCAGCGCATTACAGCGCTTCGCGCGCGTCGACGCGCGACATCTTGAAGTCTTAGAGCTGGCTGAAGGCTTGAAAGAATGAATGAGATGACAAACATCTGTTCTCCAGCTTTTTCTATAATCCAGACATTTAGTAGCCGGGTTTTATGCTAGAGCGTTGGCTTGGCTGGCTAAATAAAATCAAACATGTTTCAGGATGACGAGTGTAGGACTGCTTCCGAGCTCATGCCGGCTCAGGTAAGACTATGTTTAATCGTGCATTGTCATGTACAATAGCTCTAGTGCACGTCCCCATCGATGCCTTAAAATGTGTAATTGATTTTTGCAGGATGATGGATGCAGAACCGCTTCTGAGCCGACAGCAAGGGCGGTAAGGAGCATGATGAACCTAACATTTTCTTGCGTACATAGCTGGCCTGCAGTTGAAGATGAACTGTACACCTATCTTCGTGGAATCCTGAACCTTACCATGTGCGGGGTGAATGAGTTCACGCAGCTTCAAAGCTGCTGTTGAACATGAACTGTACACTCACCTTTGTGGATCCTGAACCTTACCATGTGCGAGGTAAATGGGTACGCAGCTTCGTGGCGTGCCCCTTTCTCCTCTCAAATGTACGCTGAAATATGGCTGATGGGTGCTGATATATGGCTGACTTCTCTTCCGCCCGTGCTGCAACACTGCGAATTCTATAGGACAAACGCGCCACTTTTCTTCGAACCCTTACTCTGGTTGTTTCTACCTCTCAATGCGTCCTCGATGCGAATTTTAGTAATGATGCACCTTGTAGCGCTGGCGGAGCTGGAGATGTCATTTAGGTGACACCACCCACCATGGAAATTTCAGTGCTCTTTCGAGCAGAGAAAGCGGCACGCTTCTGCAGCTGCGGATTCATCCACTTCTCATATGGTGAGGGCCGTTCGACCGGGATAAAGGTGAAAACTAAACAGTGGACTGAGTTTTGCAAAAAAAACTCAATCTATTATCATTAGTCGAAGCTAGAGAGTTAGCGTCAAAGTTAGAGAGCCAATTAGAAGTTAGACAAATGAAAGCGAGAAAAGCCGTGATGCGCTCAAAGACGTTTATGCGTCAAATGGAAATCATATGCTTGTAGTAGTAGTGAACTGTGCCAGCTGATATCCATAGGGTATGGTACACCCAAAGCAAAGTTTTTTGTGACTACGAGTCTTTGGAATGAAGTTGAGAAATCGCAAAATTTGCAGGATGATGGTTGCCGGACTGCTTCAGAGCCTTCACCGAAAATTGTAGGTCCATAGTCATTGTCCCCATCAGGAAGGAACTATGTCATTCAACAACTTCTTTACAGGATGACGGATGTAGAACTGCATCCGAGCCTACACCAAAAGCGGTAGGTGTTTCCACTTGACTCTCGTATCGTACACCTACTTGTTGGAACCATTGCCCCATTACCCTTGTGATGCGCGTTACTGCGCTTATGAGCTCCGAAACAGTCGTGTTTATTCCCCGTCATCCACCACTGGTGTTCTTGTCCCATCCTCTATACAACATGCCAGTTTTAACTCCGCAACTACTTTCTTGTCCCATCCTCTATACAACATGCCAGTTTTAACTCCGCAACTACAACGAAGGAACTCACTTCTGAACACACACTCACACACACACACACACACACTTACACACTCACACTTACGACACACACACACAGCACACACAAATGTCAGTCATTACCAATCACCCGTCACCAATCCTCTTAGTGAAAAAATTGTTTTGTAAGAGCTCTACCACCTTGAATAATTCGATGATGTCAGCGGCTTCCTGTCAGCCGCTCTCATTTGTTATCGCTTTCTGTCATCGACCATCGCTAAAACCGTCGCATCTCTTTGCTTCACCTGCTGGAACAAAACTTTTGTTGATATGACCACTTCCGTCGGCTTCCCGTCTCCTTTGACGTCTCTAGGCGAGGCATAGCAACCGTTATCACTTCCCATCACCCACTGACTGTGCCCTTCCCACTTCTCAAGAACCCGCTATATCAGAATAAACATCCCTCTTTCACTGGAATTACGCTATGAGCTTTTTACGAGTAGAAGGCCGCACACATTCACAGATATATGTAAGCGGGATACATGTATTGGGGTGCTGCTGATCATGCGATCGAGCCAGTTGAAAAATGACTGCTCTCTGATATTAGGTTGTCCCAAAAAGTTCTGGGACACTTTGAATCTCGTATCAAATTTTTCCGCAGCTTATGTGGTCTATGGGAAATGTGTGAGGTAAGCATTCCACAGCTTCTTCACCGTCCCTCGCAGTCGCTGTTCTCATATGAAAAACGGTAATTGAAATTCATCATTTTCGACACACTTCGCTATATGAATCTCTACCAAGCCACAACGTGGTTGGAGCCATAAGCGGCATTTCCCTTATTTAGATCTTGATGTTAGCTTCCACAGTACGGCTTTGGAATGGCTCAATTGCTTCTGCTTTAGTGACTTCTATCCGGGTGAAAAACTTCGTCCAAGGAGGCCACCTGCCTTGGATTTGGACCTACTGTGTTCCTTGATTAAAACCAATTCGTACAAATCAACTTGCTACCTAGTCCTTACACTTGACTTATCCAAAAGCGCAAATGAGAAAAGGATTCGCTCCCTTAGAAAAGTTCTGAAGTTCGGTCAAAATTTTCTCATCAGTTGACCAGTACTCCAAGGGGAGCACATGTGGGTACTGTCTACAACTTCTTTCCCGCTTCCGCTGTACGGGCTGGTTGAACAGCACTGTAACTGGATATGGAGTGGGTGCCTCTAGATGAAATCACTCCTGGGAGCGCCAGCGGCTAGATCCCCAGAAAGGGCAGAACCGATCGCGCAATCCTATCAATCCAGTAGGGCGGTGAGGCTGTGTATGTGGTGGGGTACCTTTCTCCGCTCTCGAAACGGAATTCCCTCCTTCCAACGCTATGGTAACCAGGGAGCCCTATTGTAATCAACTGCAAAGTGGGGTGGAAAATCTCTACCATTTGGTCCCAAAACCGAGCAATGTTTGCCTACTCCACCACACCTCAGGGTCAAACATTTGGAAAACGACACTGCTCGAGATCCCGAAGCTTAGCTGGGGAATTCCACCACAGTCTTCGTGTAGCCCTGACTTAGCTCTTTCCGATCGCCATCTAAACTAATCCCACAGCCATCTTCTTGGTAAAAAATACGATTTTTGATAGTACCTCAAAAATGACCCAGCTGCCTTTCTGGCCACAGAACTAAGAGGCTTCTGGAAGCAGGGCAACCACACATTGCGTAGTGATTGGCAACAAGTTGCCAATGAAGGTGACATATATATAGCTGATCAAAATTGCTTCCCACTGGAATAAACTTAATTCGAAAAAAAGTTTGAAAGTGTCCCAGAACTTTTAGGGCACAACCTAATATTCCGTACATCTGCTGCTCCTCTAATATTTCCTCACATCTGCTGCGCAGCTGTCTTGAACCTTTCCAGTGTTTGCGGCAAAAACCGTTTACAACGGCCCGTGAACTTCCATCAGAAGCAACAGAGGTTGACAGTTTTGCCTACATTTTTGAAATCCATCATTGATTTTTTTCTGGATCTTGTTGAGAATCAATGCTGATCCTATATGAAACTTAGAAGCTGATTTCCGCGTTCCAGCTTGTTAGTGCACAGAAGCCACAAGATTATGCCCCGTCAAGAATATCGTCTGAAAAAACAACTGAGATCATGATTAAACGTACAATGGAAAGGACTGTGACGGTAAGTCATTACAGGAATGTTGTTCCGCGAGATGGACCTCTACCGCAGCTAAACATTTCACGAGATGAATGTGACATGATTTGATAACCGTGACTGAGAATAATGATGGAAATGGCCAAACTGTTTTAGGAAGAAGATCTTCACACGGCTGAGCCAGTTAGAACACCAGCTGGTTTGGAAGATGCCGGATGTAAAACTGCATCTTTGCCGGAACCCGTGAGTACATGTTGTACCTTCCGCTGCTGCTTGAATTACGCGGTGACTTTTGTCGCAGTGAGGACCAACGAGTGAAGACACCGTGACACGCCTGAAATACAGTGGAGCGCTCACCGGACGGTGGGGCGTTCCCTACGACCACGCCGGCGAGCGTCCCGCTGATTGCGTGTCGATGGAAAGCCGAGAAATTCCAGGAAATCATCATCATTGCCCCTGCGTCTCTGACACTGACTCTGCGCTCTAACACACCCCGCCGCGCCCTCTTCTCACTCTTCCGTCTGACTCTCGCCGATCGATGGTTGCTGACGCTACCAATCAGCTGATTTCTGCCATAATTTTTGTTGTTTTTCTGCAATATTCAGCTTGTAAAAGCTGAAATTGTTCTAGTTTCGGTTTCAATTTTAGAGGTGAGTATGTTTACTGGAATAAGATTACATTCTGTATGAATTCAGCATGAAACTCTCTTAAAGAACTTGTTTCTTCTTTCTTTTCGCAATTTTTTTAGCGTTGATGCTACTGACTAAATTCATGCAAAATGAAACCTAGCTTCCTCGAAACATACTCACCCTTGCTTAGAAGAATAATTTTAGCTTTTCGAAGCTGAAAACGGTAGCAATCAGGTTGATTGGCGTATCAGCCATTATCGATCGCGGCGGCGTCGGACCGCTTGCCAACGTGGACGAAGGACCGCCCCACCGTCCGAAGAGAACTCGACTGCACGTTGGCCTTCCGCCCACTGGGGCCACGCGGTACTTTGTCCCGTTCAAAAAGTGTTTCGTCTTTCCTGAACAGTCGTCTGGTTTTGTGGCACATATTTGGGTTGGTACAATCCATCAGATGGATTGCGTCGAAGTGGCGTTAGCGTTGCTCGCAAAAAAAGAACAACCCTCCTTCGCTCGGCTGCATAATAGATTATGAAACCTGAAAAGTGTAAATTGGTGAATATACTGAACACAACTTGGTGATGAATAAAGTACCCATGGACTAGTAATAAGGAGTCTGGCGTCAGGACGTAATCTGTTACTCCAGGTGGAAGCAAAACATCTGCAGCAATCGGAATTGGAGAAGCACACGGAGCGCGAAAGACAAACAGCAACAGTGGTAATCTTACTCTAGTAGCCTATTACTTTGTGACGATTTTGTTTGGTCCATAAAAGACCTTGGTCTGTTCAGGATTAATACCTGCGACTCCCCAGAGAATAGGGTGGGGCAGTAACCGTACCCTTAGTGATCTGTTTGACCTTTGAAAATCTTGGTTCGCCGCGATGCCGGTTGTTAAAAACATGTGATCATCTCGCGCTGCAATCTTTCTACGGTGACGGGCTCCTTATGTCAGCTTGTGAGATGAACGATGATTATCTTCTTGCTTATCGGTCGACTGAGCTCGTGGATTCACTGGATTTAGTGCGGTTCCCTTACATTGCTTCACGCTTTTGCGTGCATTTAGCCATTGTTCATTCTAGATTGAAAGAAAGAAAAAGACGCTGAAACGTAGGCATACTCCTCCCCTCCCGCCCCCGTTCTTGCTATACAGCGCTCAGTCTTCGTGATGGCCCGCGTCGACACGCTACCATTGCATCAGCGCTGCCATGGTCAAGATACGGACGCAGGCGTGACGATCCGTGGGAGCTGGCAGCGTGTGTTTTCGAGAGAGTGTGAGAAATGGAGGGTAGGCGTAGCCTAATAATGCGGTCTCGTTTGTGGCTGTGTTCGCGTCTATGTCGTTTAGACGCTCCTGCAACGGCAGCGCATACAGCGTGTCGCGCGCGTCGATGTGCGTCATCTTGAAGTCTTACAAGGGTGGTCGAAAGCGAGCTTTTTAAAAATGGTTTTGTGCATATTGTAGGGGCATATACGAAGTTCATTTTCTCTGCGCGCTTCTAGGAATAAAAAAAACGTAAAAAATAGGTCGATGGTTCGGATCCCACCGAGGACAAAATTTTGCTTTTCTACAATTTTTCATTTTTTGGGTCCATGTTTGTCTAAATACTTTGTCCCAACAAAAACATTCACGATAAACTGAACAATCCTACTTTTATGAGCAAAACTGCTTTTTCTTTCGAATTTGTTAGTATTCACAGACTGAGCTTTTCGGCGCTATGCTGGTGCCAGATGGCACTGGCGCCAAAAATAAAACTATCGATTACCCCTGGGAGCAAACTTTGAGCAAAAAAAATTTCATTGACATTTCGGGTTGTAGGTGACCAACCATTGAACATGTACTGACCATTTGGTCGGCAGTGTGAGCAGAGCCTCACATCTTCGTAACAGAGATGACGTATCCATGACGCTGCGGACCCTGGAAAATCCAATAAGCAACCCTGAAAGGTCAAAACAATTGTTCTGACTGAAAATTCATTTGTAGGTGTAAAAAGTGGCCCTATTCACCAAATATAACACCTATTCATGGCGTCAATTTGGCACCAGAATAGCGCTGAACGCTCGCTATATGGGTATACAGTGGAAAGAAGATGTGGCCCCAAATTGGCTATAATTGACACCATACCAAAAGTTACTATAATTCGCCATCAGATCCACTGTCTAGTCTATGAAGACCAACGTTCAGCTACAATCTTGTTCAACTGAAAATTGAAATAGTTGAATAGCACTGACTTTTGGGGTATAGCTACTCAGTATATGCCCATGATTGAAAAATATCCGAGTTATGTTCAAGCGCAGCCACAAATGGAAGCGGGAACAGCGAAACTAAAAAAATGCAAAAATCGCTCCTCGAGGGAAGTCAAACTCTCCTATCCGCTAGGCCATCTAGTCGTTGCCCATGTGCACCGCCCTAATCGTTGAAGAGACCATTGCAGAAGCAGCTCACCCTTGAGCACGTGACCCAACTTGGAAACTCATTTGCGACGATTTTTCGCTCTGATTCAAATAGTCCCTTT